TTATTTTTTTTGTATTTTTAGTAGAGACGGGGTTTCACCGTGTTAGCCAGGATGGTCTTGATCCCCTGACCTCGTGATCCGCCCGTCTCGGCCTCCCAAAGTGCCGGGATTACAGGCTTGAGCCACCGCGCCCGGCCCCGAGTTGGATGCTTTTAAAAGTAAAATTATCATGCAGTTATTGGAGCTCAATGTGCCTTCTCCACCATAGGAATATACTTGTCTGGCTAAGGAATCTGAATGTTATTTTCAGCCAGAAAGGTCCCTTTCTGTCTATATATCCGAGATTATGACTGGTTATGGACTCATTAGCTGCTGTAACATGGAGCAAATTGGGAGGGCTTGAAAATTCATTCAAAACCAGCCCTCTTGGGTGGGCTAAACATCTGCAGAAACTGGAAGGAGGAACAGAGAATCAGCATCTGGAATAAGTGTAGTAATTAAAACAAAGATTATAACAACAATAATCTCTAATCGTGATTGAGGGTCTACTGTGTGTTAAGAACTGTGCTAAGAACTTTACATCAACTACCTAACTTGTTTCTAACAATAACTATCTTACCATTAATATTTCTATTTTCTAGATGAGAAAAGTGAAGTTTAGAAGAGTTAAAGTAATATGCTAAAATGTGGAAGTGTCTTGGCATAGGGTACCCTAGGCTGGATCATGGGCTTCTCAAGGTTAATGAGTCCAAAGCTGAGCCCTTCATTTCCTCTTGAAACATGTTCTTCTTTCAGTTAGAAGCTTCTGAGTAATTCTGGATGTCTTCCTTCCTCTCTGCTTCCTTCTCCCTGACTGAGTTACTGACATCATCAAATCTTGTGAAATTTACGGTGGATCTTCCCCGTTCCTTGGTCCCTGCTGTCACTGCTCTTGTCCACGTATGGAGATTACTCCGTTGGCACCTAGCCCCTCTCTCTTGCAAAGTAGTCTATTATTCAAATAATAATCTTTTTTTTTTAAATCAAGATAAATTTTTCATAATGTAAAATTTATCATGTTTACCATTTTAGAAGTGTAGAATGAAGTGGCTTTCAGTACATTCACAATGTTTTGCAAGCATCACTGGTATCTAACTGCAGGACATTTTCATCACCCCCCAAAGAAACCCTCATCCATTGAGCAGTCACACCCCATGCCCATCCCCCAGCCCCTGGAAGCCCCTAATCTATTTCTGTCTCTATGAATTCGCCTATTCTGGACATTTCATTTAAATGGAATCATGTATTCCTGGCCTTTTGTGTCTGGCTTCTTTCACTTAGCCTGTTTTCAAGGTTAACCCATGATGTAGCATGTACTTCATTCCTTTTTATGGCCAAATAATTTTTCATTACATGGTTATTAAGCATTTTGTTTATCCATTCATCAGTTGACAGACATTTGGGTTGTTTCCACTTTTTGGTTATTATGAAAAATGTTGCTATGAACATTTGTGTACATGTCTTTGTTTGAATGCCTGTTTTCAACTCAGCAGAATAATCTTTTAAAAATGAAAACTATGTTTTTTCTTCACTTAAAAACATGACTTCTCATTACAATTATATTGTAATTAAAATGCTTTCCCGTGGCCCACAAGTGTTTGTATAATCTGCCTCTTTTCTCATTTAATCAGCTTTCCTCTCCCGTCAATATATTCCAGCCATACTGGTCTCTATTTAGTTTCCCCAATTTCCCAAGCCTTTATAGGGTGTTCACAGCTGCTAGTTCCTGGTCTGAAATACTTTTTCCAGTGCTTTGCAAGTTAGTTCATTTTTATCCTTCAAATCTCCAGACAAAATGTTACTTTTCCAGAAAACTTTTCCCTGACTAAACTGGGTAATTGTATGTTTCCTTCCTAATGCTTTTCTCACCTTGTAAGTACATGTTTTTTTGTGTGTGAACCATTTACAATCTGTTGCCGTCACAAGACTGTAAATCCCTTAAGGTCAGGAATTAAAGTGTAACTTTTTCTCATCGCTACCATCTGCACCTCTGCTTAGCACAATACTTGACATACAAGAGACACTCCACAAATATTTGTTGAATAAATGAATAAAATGAGAAAGGTCACAGGTATTGGAAATGAGATAGAGTAATCCAATACATAGTGATAGAGGTGTACTAAGAAGAAGGAAGAGTGGGGCGGTGGAGAATTTTTAGTTTCATGAATATTTAAAGATCTAGGCAACTGCATCATTAAATGATGGAGCAGTCCAATTGATCTGGGAATTGTGGTTAACTTTTATCTCTGTAGGAAGAAGCAGAGCTTGGCGATAACAATGTACATACAGTCCTAGTCTTAGTATTTTACTAGGCACATATTCAAGACTGGAACTCAAGAACAGAGAACAATGCCAGTCTCAGGGTCTAGTTACCCAAACTGTATTCAAGAAGGGAATTTGGTCAAGGAGTCAAAGCAAAACCTCTGGAAAGAAAATCAGAGCTTAGGGAAAAAAAAGAACACGTTTAATTTGATATCAGTTCTGGAGATGTTGACTAGATTTCTTTAAATCTCATCTGTCTACAATGAGAATTGTTTCCAGAAACCTGGCTAGGACTGAGATTATAGCCATAGCTTTTGGGATAGGAAGGATGGAAGGGATGGGAAACTAAACTGGACTTGACAAACCCTAAATTGTGTTATAGAAACACTAATGAACTTAGGCTCTTCAGATGATCAACCTCCTGTTTGTCTCAATTAATATTTTATCCTTATTTACTTTGACATTAATTGACTGTGGTCAAATTATGTCATGTCTCTTTGTCTCAATTTCTTTATCTACAAAGTGGGAGCTTTGGGCTGAATATGACCACCAAGATCCTTTCCAGCTATGAAAATCTGTGAGCCTCTATGCCACAGTTTCCGAGTTGCAAATTTTCACTCTAAACAATTGATGTTGGCTGTTCCTTGATGATCTCATTAGTAAACAGTCTTCACAGACACGAGATGTGTTATGTGTAGTCTTTGAGTCCTTTTTAGCCCCTTTTAGACAGAATGGCATTTCTTGACATGGTTATTTGACTTGGGAAAACCACGTATTTGGGACCAATACCTCTTAATCTGCTGTCTAGAGACAGAGATTCAGAAATAAAAAAAAAAATTAGTAATATTTAGTAGCAAAATGGCCTAAATTATTATTTAGCATAGTGGTTGCTTAATGGTAAACACATGTTTAAAGATCATTAAATTTTATAAGTTAAAAGATCATTAAATTTCATAACGTTAACATCTAAAGTATTTTTTCACTGAAACTATTAGATCAATCCATTTTCTGAGGATTTTATTTTGATTCTTGTCTAAACACAGAATTGAACTAGTTGAATAGAAGGAAATGGTCTCTAAATTAAAAGATTAGACTAAGTCCTCCTTAATCTCCACTGTGTAATGCAACATAATAAAAATGAGACTTGGTCTGTCTAAAACTAGAGATGTGAGGAGACTTCGAAAAGTTCATGGAAAAATATTGTGCAGAATCTGGATTTTATGAAAATAAATTTTTATTTGGAGAATGGAAATAAAATATTAAAAAGTATAAAGTCAATTTTTAAACATAAGCTCCATCAAATTCAAGACACTTGTGATGATACCAGCCACGTAGCCTATCCCTAAAAAACTGAGGGTTCTGGGAATTTAATTCAGTCAACACAGTCTTTAGACTATTAACTGAAGAAAAATGGGTTTCTTTTATACATTTTTTAAGACTAAGAAACAAAAAGAAGTTAGAAGGCACCAAATCAGGACTGTAAGGTGGATGTCTAATGACTTCCCATTGAAACTCTTGCAAAATTGCCCTTGTTTCTTAAGAGGAATGAGCAGGTGCATTTTTATAGTGGAGAAAGACTGATGAAGCTTACCCGGGTGTTTTTTTGTTTGTTTGTTTTTGCTAAAGCTTTGGCTTGCTTTCTCAAAAACATTCTCATAATAAGTATATGTTATTGTTCTTTGGTCCAACAGAGAGTCAACAAGCAAAATGCCTTGAGCATCCCTAAAAACCATTGCCATGACCTTTTGTCTTGACCAGTACACTTTTGCTTTGACTGGACCACTTCCACCTCTTGGTAGCCATTACTTTAATTGTGGTTTGTCTTTAGAATCATAACTAAGTTTCATCTCCTGTTACAATTCTTTGAAGAAATGCTTCAGGATCTCAGTCCCACTTATTTAAAATTTCCATTGAGAGATCTGCTCTTTTCTCTGGCTAATCTGGGTACAATGGTTTTGGCATCCATTGAGTGGAAAGTTTGCTCAGAGGTTTCAGTGAACCATGCTTGCGCTACTGCAATCCAGCAGCCTGGGTGACACAACAAGACCCTGTCTCAAAGAAAAAAAAAAAAAAAAGAAAAGAAAAAAGAATGGTTGATTAATCAATAAATATAGAAGAAATAGTAAAGGTAGAAAATCACCATTTTGCAATCATTATAAAGTGATTTATTCAGAAGAATAATTAATAAGCTAAAGGTTTGAAGAGGAACAGGATTTTCACATATCATCAAAGTATCTCCCCGGAGGTTACTTACTAATTACAAAATGAAAAGTGGAAAAGCCTGACCAATGCCACCTTATTGAGTAGTCAAAGTTAACATCACCAATGATGAAATAAATTGAGATATGATTCCTGAAATGTTATACTGAGAGATGTACAACATTGTTTATGCAGTATTTCTGCTGAAAAAGCATAATCTGAATCTAACCAAGTGGAAACATCAGACAGAACCAAAGGGACATTCTTTTAAATAATCCCTTGGTTATCTAGAGCTAGAAATACCATTTGACCCAGCAATCCCATGACTGGGTGTACACACAAAGGTTTATAAGTCATTCTACTATAAAGACACATGAACATGTATGTTTATTGAGGCACTATTCACAATAGCAAAGACTTGGAACCAACCCAAATGTCCATCAATGATAGACTGGATAAAGAAAATGTGTCACATATACACCATGGAATACTATGCAGCCATAAAAAAAGGATGAGTTCATGTCCTTTGCAGGGACATAGATGAAACTGGAAACCATCATTCTCAGCAAACTATCACAAGAACAGAAAACCAAACACTGAATGTTCTCACTCATAAGTGGGAGTTGAACAATGAGAACACGTGGACACAGGGAGTGGAACATCATATACCAGGGCCTGTTAGGGGGTCGGGGGCTAGAGGAGGGATAGCATTAGGAGAAATAGCTAATGTAGATGACAGGTTGATGGGTGCAGCAAACCACCGTGGCACGTGTGTACCTATGTAACAAAACTGCACATGTATCCCAGAACTTAAAAGTATAAAAAAAAAATCCCATGGTACTTCTGAATAATTTCAATGTCATGAAAAACAAAATGTGAAGTGTACCAGATGAAGGAGACTAACAGACATGCCAACTACATGTAATGTGTGATCTTGAATCTGGATCAGAGAAAAAAATTCTGTAAAGGACATTATTGGGACAATTAGAGGAAAATAAATATAGGCTGTATATTAGATAAGAGTATTGCATAAATGTTAAATTCCTGGATTTGATAAATGTACTGTGGTTATTTATGAGAACATTTTTTCCCAGGAAATGAACACTGAAGTATTTAGGGATAAAGGTACATAATTCTGCAAGTAACTCTTAAATGGTTCAGCAAAAGTATTTTGTTGTGTGCGTGTATGCACACACACACAGAAAGAGAAATCAAAAGTGGCAAAATGTTAACAACTGAGGAATATGGTTAAGTATACAGCAGTTCTTTGTTTTATTCTTCTGTCAGTCTGTTTTGTGCTGCTGTAACAGAATACCACAGATTGGATAATTTACAATAAACAGAAACATAGTGGCTCATAGTTGTAAAGGCTGGGAAGTCTAAGATTGAGAGGCTGCATTTGGTGAGGACCTTCCTGCTGCATCATAATGGCAGAAGGCATCACATGGTGGAAGGGCAAAGAGAGGGGGAGAAAGTAAGCAACAAATAGGGCCAAACTTATCCTTTTATAAGCAAGTGACTCCCTTGATAACAGCATTAATTCATTCATAAGGTCAGAGCCCTCATGGCCTAATCACCTCTTAAAGATCCCACTTCTTAATATTGTTACAATGGCAATTAAATTTCACCCTAAGTTTGAGAGAGGAAAACTTTCAAACCATAGCATTTTCCAACTCTTCTGTATGTTTGAAATTATTTTAATATAAAAAGTCTTTAAAAAGAATGATTATTAATCAGCTCCCTGAGCAAAGATATTATCTTTGGCTTCAGTCACTCATCACAGAATAGAAAGCATTTGACATTGCCAGAACGAAGCATGGATCCCATGAGACAACTGACTGCAGAGCTGGAAGATGAACTTGCAGTATTATTTGTCAGTATAATTTAGAAAACAAGGTTGCGCTTCTTAGAACTCTCCCAGATGATTGCTACCATATATGGATAATTCATTTTATAAACATTAATGAAGTTCCAATTATATATATGTAATATATATGTATTTATATATATATATTTTATATGTACATATATATATATAGAGAGAGAGAGGAACTTTTCTAGCCCCACTGGAATTACAGTGATGGGAATTTAATACAGAGAACAGTCTCTGACAGTTGTGAGGGGCAACAGCTACATAACAAAATACCAGGATGATGCAGCAGTGAAAGTAAACATGTAGAAAAAAAATTAGCAGAGAATACAACAATTCAGACAATTTTGCAGGATGGTTTGGTGGAGAGGAATGACAATGAAGCACACAAGTTTTCCACTTGATTGGAGTGGAGGAATGGAGTGAAAGAGTATTCCAGGCAAAGGGAGCAGAGGCAGTTGACATAAGAGTTGAAAATGGCAGTTGACATACAGGTTTTTGATGTTCAATTTGTAACAACACAAAAGAAATTAGTTGTCAGTTAAGTTGTGAATATTTACAAGACATTAAAATGGTATAAAATAATTAACACTGGAAAACATGCAATACTAACTGATCCTTTGATAAACTGTTTTTATTGTGTATGTATGGCATCTTATTAAACATGGAATTCCTCCTTTGACCTTTTTACCTTTTGCAGTAATTTTCAAACATGAATAATGTATAGACTCTTTTTAAAGGAAAGAAATTCCCATAATTCCCAGGAGTCACATGTTCAGCTAACTACTGGTCGACAGGTCTTAGTTTGAGAAATACTGAGTTGAAGAATGGAAGAAAGTTTTACTTTATAAAAATGTTATTTAATTATAAATTACAACTATAAAAAAGATATGTTGTTTTCAGTCAGCAAAATTATTTTGGATTATTGAAATAAAAACAAAATAATCAAAAGGCGAATACAAAACAATAAAATACTTTGTAATCTTTGAGTCAAAAGCTTAATCTTAAATATGTAAGTTTTGCATAAATTTGTAAGTAATACATCCAAACACCAATCAGTACATGGAAACGGGCTTGAATAAACAGTTTACAAAAGATGAAAAAAAACCATAAGCATTTAAAATGTTCACCTTCAGTAATAACTACAAAAAAGAAATTTAAAATAAAAGACTACCTTTTGACCCATAAAATTAGTAGATACTTAAAAAAATGATAACATGTTGAGAGTTTTTAATAATAGAAAAAAATCACAAACAATCTCAATATCCAACAGTATGGAAATAATTAAAATATGCATTTATGTAGTATGACATTACTTGGACATTAAAATATTTTTGAAGAACTTAATATGAATGCTTATGCTATCATATTATATGCAAAAAAAAGCAATGAACAAAAAATATAAATTCAACCTTGTCCAAATATACATAGAAGATCTAGATAACTCTACTATGGTTACGGAAGTCATTAACATTTTAATAGTAGAAGCTGGGTGAAGGGCAACTCTCTGTCCTATTTCTGCAGCTTTTCTGTAAGTCTAAAATTATTTCAAAGTGAAAAGTTAAAAAACATACATAGAAAAAATACTGCAAGGAAAAATACCAAAATTTTAGCAGTGGTTTCTATGTGGTAAAATTGAGTAACTTTTCCTCTTAATTTGGAAAAATGATTTTCTTTAACTTAAATTTTTATAGAGTGATATGCCATGTAATTTAAAATGCCATATAATGCCATTTCATCCCCCCCCCAATTAAAACAGAAAGAAAATGCTAAATTCAAAACAAAAATATCATCCACCACCATTTGGTAATCAATGTGGCAGCAAAACATAAAACATAAATGTAAATGATAAATATAAGGACTGAAATAGAATTAGGGAGTTGTGGCACTAAGAATTTCATTTCAGTAAAAAGGGGAGAAAGGCTGCTTCTCCAAAGAGCGAAAATATCTGCAGTATTTTATGTGTAGGAGAGAATTAGGTGAATTCTGTGAGTTTTGGGGGAGGGTATGTTATGAGAGCATTCCCAAAAGGTTAGTTGTTAATGAGTAAAAACAATTTGCTTTAGATAACTATCTTCATACTTGTTTTTATCACAGACTATTTTCTAAGCAACTCAAGTTTGCAGTGATTCAGGCCTACTTCTGAAGAAACAGCCTTTTATCTCAATGAATGACACAGGTAAACACCTACTTGAATTAAGTTCCTCTTGATCCAGACTTTTGTGCCAAATATTTTTCTTTGTTTAATATTAAATAAGGACGAATAGAAAAATGAATATATACTATGTTGTCATTGGAGGCTGCACCTGAAAAACTACAGCATGTTAGACCTTGTGGTTCTCAGTCTTTGCCTGTCTCAAGATTCTGAGGTGCATGACATCTTCCTTTCTATACCTGGACTCCCTATAGGAGTGATTCTTGGGAACATGGCAAGCTGTTGGTATGTGGTTTGTAAAGGAACATCCTCAGGCACACTCATGTCAATGCTGAAACTGTTCCCTTTCTCCTGCATTGCCGCATCTCCCTAAGAGTTATTGGTAGAACCAGAATCTTTGAGTTTTCACAGTTTATCCTAGATGATTATTGTTTAGCCTCCTTTCTCATATTGAGACAAAGTTAGAACTTGCTCCGTAGAGAAACAACACTGTGTCAGAAATTGTTCTTTGGAGAGGGAGTGTGAGGCTTTACTTCAAACTTAGCCCTGATTCAATTTCTGTCCCCACAGTTAGATTTTAAGCCCCTTACAGGCACAGGTTAGGTCTTATCCATCTTTTTACCTTCTTCAGACTTAGTGTTTGACTTTTGAAAAAGTAGTTACTTACCAAATGTTTACTGAAAATGAATACCATTTCCTTAAGGGCAAATTGTATTCCTTTGTGAAGGTAAATCTATCTCTTGCTGTGAAAAAAAAGTAAAATGTGGCATAAGTACAAATTAAAGTGGAAAATACAGAATATACAGCTTCAAATGAAGCAGCAGCTTCGATCTTGGGCTGAGTATATAAAAAAGATTGAGTTATTAAAAACAAGATCTAAAGGTCTGTCTAACAAGATTCTTAAAAGAGGAACCAGGAATATGTTTGAATCTACACATGTTCCTCAAGGCTGCAAATACATTGTACTATATGGACAGTCACTGACAGGGACATTTATCTGATCCTGTGAACACGTTACAGGGAATTCTGTGTCCAGAGCCTCTGCCCTTTGACCGTGGATTGCTTCTTGTTTCTTAAGTATGAAAACTGGAGAATGACAGACTTAGAGAACATTTTCTCTTATGCATACATACAGCATTATTAACATACTCACGCCTATAGCAGATTGTTTTAGAATTTTAGATTTGTTTGCTCATCCATAAAAGAGAATAATAATAATTATCTCACAGACTGAGGTAAGGATTAAATTGGCACAGTGCCTGAGAAGTAGTACATATATGCTCAATAAATGGTGTTTTTTTCCATTATTATTCACAGATAGAAATTCAGAAGCGTGTTACAAAGGGTTAGGTGAATTTAATATAGAATTACCAGGGCAATGTTATACTTCAGCTACATTATAGTTTAGATTGGTTTATGTGAGCTTAAAGCAAAGTATTGCTACCACGTCTAACAATACTGTAAGGGAAAATAATTTCCTAAAACTGTGCAACTGGCATGCTCTTGGAGTTTTGGAGCTGCTCATAAGTTAAGTGTTTCCTAGCCCTTTTCCGTGTTGCTCATTTATTTATCTCTTTTTTTTCTGAATATTGACTATTGTTAATAAATATCTTAGAAGAGATATCACGCTTTTCATCATCAGAAATAAGCCATTGCTTTCGCAGTGACGTCTACTTTTTAAACATTTCCACTAATCAATGTTTCTGTTGACCTCCATTTATTGTCAAGTAGCTTGCATGTCTTTGATCTTAAGTTAATGAATGACTTTCTCTGTAGCATTTATGAGTCAGACTTCTTGGACTTGAGCCATTACTCAGTTTACTGTGTAAGGACATTTACTTTTCATTTTTAAATTCAATTTTTTTGCAGTTTTTATATATGCAAGGAATGAAACACTATGTTGGCTAGAAATTTGTAATAAAAATCATAGAAATAACATAGACTTGGCAAAACTTCATTCACTCATAGGACAACACTTGGATACTTGTTGGAGTGGAACAGAAAAGCTGGCAACACTACCAGCACCACCACTATCAATAGAAAACATTCCCTAAAAATAAAGTTGCCTGTGAAGCTGTGCTAGATATTATTAAAAGAGAAACACATTGAGAACAGTGACCTCAAATTACTTATATGGAGTCGACACGTGGAAAATAAAAACATTAGGCTATATCCACAGGCATTGTTGTCTTCATTACATGTAGGTAAGGTACAAATGAAATTTCGATATGTGAAAAAGGTCAATTATCTGACTCAAGTAGAGATTAGAGGTAAAGTTTAGGACTTTTTATGTCTTGCACAATTGATGGATAATAATAACAATGTGACTATATTCTCTTGAATTCGTCAGGGGATAGACCATTTAAGTTTTGGTGTACACCAGGACACAGACATGCAAAGTGACAGCTGTTACTCTTTGGAGTGAGTTCTTCAAAGCAGACTTAGACCCTGGCTAAGCCTGGTGCTTAAAACCCTGGTGCTCCTGGGGCAAGCAAATGCCTTGGACTACCTTTCAGAATGTGCCATTGGCTCCTGTGACTGGGGCATGGAGGGGAAACACCAATATTATTATGCAAATAGCTCCAGGCCAATGCATGGTTTCAGGAACAGCACAGAGGAATGCCTGGGATACCTAAGATGAGACTTGGATATATTAGCACCAAAAATTGCCTCAAAGAGGAACAATACATTTTATCGGAAACTGATGTGAATTTTGTTTCCAAATTTGTGTGCTAGTAACAAAGCCAATAGACATTTTAATAGGATTTGCAAGCTGACAGTTTACCCAGACTTTCTACTTTAGCTTAAATTGGAGTGCCTCATTTCGTTCCTTCTTCATTTCTGTAATTGAAAAGAAGCCTTTATAGTATGTCTAAAAGCACACTAAGGATGTATTTGTATTAACATCTTAATTTTGCTAAATGCCAATAAATGCTATGCCTTATCTTCACTTTTCCATTAGGAAATTGCCTAAAAGACAATGCTTTATTGTAAAATTTAAAAATTATATTGTAAGTAGTATTTGTAGAGACAAGAAGCTATCTAAATCTATTTCAAAATCTGCATCTATATCTACATTTATGTCATATTTGTATGTTTTCCAGTGGTCACACCCTCAAGCATACTGATATAGAATACAGAGGTTGAGATGTTTAGATGCTATTACTAAGGTTAAAAATTATATCATAAACATACACACACATAAAAAAGACTGCAATAAATGAATATAAAAACAATAAACACTTTTTTTTCTCCTACCCTAAGACAAACATAACTAATCAAGATCCATCTGTTTATTCTTGTATTTTCTGTTCTACTTCCATGGTTGGTCTCACTCCTGTAGCAGTGTTGGTATCAACACTGGAATATTACAGAGAAGATTAGCATAGCCTTTTGCAAAGATGCCTCACAAATTTGTAAACTTGCCGTGTTTTTGCATAGTTAATTACTTCTTTCTTTGTGTTCCAATAGCATGTTGTATGTATATTAGCTGTCATCTACTGTATTATAATTATTTGTTTACTTCTCTGTCCCCCTCATAAAACAGAATCCCTAAAGAAAGAAATTATTTTTTATATTCAGAGTGGCCAGCACAGTGCCTAGATTCTATAAAGCATCCAGAAAATGTTTAATAAATGAAAACAAAATGAAAAAAGCTTTATAGTTTTTGTGTAAGAAACAAGCAACAACTCTTTATATACATCATGCCAAAGCAGAAATGCATTCTGAAACAATTTCTTGCCTCCTCACCTTGTAGTCCCAATGGCAGAAATTCTATTTTAGTGTGATGCCCACTGGCCACCCCCTGCTGATAACTAGTGGACACAGTTCAGTTTGATTATGGGCAGATGGACAAGCCCGCTGTTGTCCTTGGCCATAGACTGTTTCTGCCTATTCTCTTAGGTGCATCAAACATGCATTTCTTTCTGTCCTCCTTTTTCAGAATTGTACATACTTGCTTCTAAAACTGAATAGAATGATATATTTGCAATATTAGATGCCATAAGCAGGCTCTGGAAGAAAGAGAAGCAAAAATACTTTGAGAGATACATGTTATCTAACAAAAGAAGTGGACTCAGTGGAAAAGAGGCCATGACACATTGCTGTTATTCAACTGATGAGGGATAGATTTTCCCTCTTTCTCTTCCACCATAATGAGATTGATTAGAAGAGAAATAAAGTTGCAATATATTTCTGGAAAAGGAGATCCAGATTATGGTACCAATTTGAATTGTTCAACTAGATGATTGCCCAGGGTTGTAATTCATTCAAATTTCACATATAATTGCATACATAAGTAGTAGTTCCTTCAAATTAGCAATGCAAACAATGGTTGCATAGAAAAGACACTGGCATGTTACTTAAGTTTTTAAGCTATATACAATATTCAAAATCATTTGGCATAGATATTTTCTTTACTAGTAAAAAGAAAATGGGAGAAGAAAATAATTATTATTCATTTAGTTTTTTTTTAATCATAGGCCAGGCATTTTTATGAAGACACTTTTTCTATGCTTTTTATGTAATCCTCAGGACTCCACTGTGAAATTAGTTTTATTATGATTATTTTTAAAAAGAGAAAAGTTAGACTGAGAGATACGAAGTAATTCACTCAAGGTTACAGAGCTGGGAAGTGACCAAGCTGTAATTCCCAATCCAGTCCTTTCTACTCTTAAACTCATTTTCTACCTACTGTATCAGATTTAGCAAGCACATAGTTATTTCTCAAGGTTTTTTTGTTCTTGTTTTTGTTTTTTTTGTTTTTCTTTTGTTTGTTTTTTTTAAGAGACGAGGTCTTGCTTTGTTGCCCAGGCTGCTCACAAATTCCTGGGCTCAAGCAATCCTCCCACCTCTGCCTCCCAAAGTGTTGGATTACAGGTGTGGACCACCGCTCCTGGCCTTGGGTATTTATTATGAAAGTGGTAGTGTTTTAAAGGATTTCCAGTAATTGTGAATAGTGTCTTAGATGCCAACTACCACAAATGTTTCTGGTGAGTGAGTTGGGGTACTTGTACTCTTTTCCA